CCCACCATTTCTTTATGCTCTGCAACTAATCCTACTGAAATCATATTAGACCAAGTTAAGCATGTGCTTAAATCCTTGGGGAATGGGGCACTAAGGATAATCTTGCAGACCTTTAAGGAATCTAAAATTTTGAAATCAATTTCTATATTCTTGCTGTTTCTCAATGTCCCAACTAAAAACAATGTACCTTTAAATAAAAAAAATTGCCAGTAAGATTCCAATGAAAGTTTAGTTTAACAAATAAGAGGATCTCAAAGTACTTAATAAATATCAGTCTTCAACAAAATATTAAACCAATTATACACACAAGAAAACTGAACCACAGAAATCTAATCCAAAGAAATAATCTGAGTCTTAGTACTATCATGCAAATATGCTAAAAAGTATTTACCATCCCCAATATTTTTCTCTGATATCCTAAGGTATTTCCCAGATCACTAAAGTCATTCCAAACGCAGATGATCAAAAAAGATATAGATGGCCTTAGTACATGGAGTCCAGATTGCTGACGGACTACTCGTATATTAAGTCTGACATTTGGAAATACATTGGTACATATGGAACTTAAAACAGAGTGGTTTGAAATTTTAAAATTTCAAACCAAGTCTCAAGGACAGTTTGGGGTTTTTTTGGTAATCTATTTTTTTAAATTTCAAATTTGTTGTATTTAATTTATTTATAGATTTTACTGTGGTATTCATCCTCATAATATCCAAGCGCCTCAAAAACATTAATGAATTTAGCCTTAAAACACCCTTGTGAGGTAAAAAGAAGAACAGGAGGACTTGTGGCACCTTAGACCTTGTGAGGTAAACTATTACTATCCCCATTTTACAGATGGAGAAACAGAGAGAGGTAAAGTGATCACACAAGGTCACCAAGAAAGACCTTCCGATTCCCAAGGAAGTCTAGTGGTAAAGACGTTACTTAGACTACTGATGCTTTTCAGATCACCTTTAAGGTATAGGATATTGTTTGTTTTAAACCAAGTGTTGCAGAGTATACCTCAGATTCTGCTTATGTGACTCTAGTCATATTGAAAACTAGCACCTAAAGGGGCAAGATATACCCCTTTGCTTCTTGATATTTGCACACAAATCCTATTAGCATTAGAAACTTAGACAACAGAATCGCAAATAGAAACCTATGGAAATTATCAGAATTCTAATCAAGAAAACCCCATAAGTTTACCACAGACCCTTTAGCCATCCCCAAATTATTAAAAATATATAATTGAGGGACATAATATATGGATTTAAATTTTAAAAATTCATATTATAGCAATATGTTGGTCGAGTAATGCATGCCCTGTCCTATTAATGCACTACTTGTGTGGTTGAAGTCACTCAAGCCTTTGGCCTCACCACACACAAGGTATGCCTTGAGGGGCTGTTAATACATACCTTCAAAGTCTTATTGCTTAGCTGATACAGATATAAAGAACAAATTATCTATTCTTCCATAGCAGTGCAAGGTAATATTCGTAAAGTTAAAATTATTCAGGCACTGAAAAATGTTTTGCTACTGGAATAGTATTTCATATTTGGCTCTTAAAATCCAGAAGGTTCCAATAATATACTAAAATGGGAACTTGCATCTCATTAAAGTAGGGACAGCAGGAGTTTGAATTTACAAATTTCTATTTACCTTTGTAATTTTAGTTTAACATACTAAAAACATGACAAGTTTCCTGAGATTTGTGGCTCTCAATTGCATTCAATATATCAACTACTAAAAGAATGCTTTATTGCTTCTCCATCCCACACAGCCTCACACCATCTTCTTTATGATGATACTAAAAGGTTCATATGTCATTTGGGACAGGAAGAAAGAAAGACTAAGTACTGTAGTTTCACTTAAACGTTTATGTACATTATCAGACAGTTTTTACACTTTACAATATATATTTAATGACTTAACAAAAAAAAGATTCTCATGCTGAAAAATTACACATGGGCAAGAAAGCTTTACATCTGAAGAAGCAAAGTAACAGGTTTTAATTTTGTCTGGATATTTCCTTAAACAGTAACATCAAAACATTAAACTAGTATTCCTAAACTATTCATGTTAGATTAACACTAACATCTCCAGTAAAGGAAGTATTTTGTCAAAGATTAACCTGACATTCACAAAGGCAATGACTATCTAAGAATTTAGTTAGTATTGTTTTAATCTTTTGTCTTTTTTTTTTATAAGTATTACTGGTCCTTGTGTTAGTAACAGATGTATTGTGAAACATACCTAGGTTAACTAGCATAGACGTAGGAATTATTCCAAAACATTATTAAAACAAAAGTGAAGAGATTAATATGGCATGCATATCACATCACACAAAGATACAAACACACCCCCCAAGAAGCTACTTGAGTCTATCGTCTCCCCCACCCCCACCAGTAAGAGTGGTCTCGTTCATTTGCCTTTCACACACATAACCAATAAAATTAATCAGCTGGGATACAGCATTTTATTCATAGTAAAGTCAAGACATGTTTTGTACATGATTTGAAGAAAACAGCCTTTTCATTTAAACATAACAAGCCAGTAATGTGCTGCAGACAAACGCACTGCATGGGGTGTGGAGGACCCGAGCTGATTAGATTACCACAACATCAGCCTGGGGCCGCCATTTTTAGAATCTCTAAAGGACAAAAGAGGGAAATTACAATTTTTACTCCACATTTACCATAAGTAACTTTAAAAGTACAATGTTTATGGTCAAGCATTTACGTATCCTACCTATGGTCATAGCCATCTCTTTCAGTTCACTGAGGTAGGTCTCAAAAAACAAAAAAGCCTTTTCGTTACTAATCCCTTTAGGATGATGTAAATAAACTAAGGCTAAACATTCTTAAGTTCCGACTTTAATCAAATGTAGTGTATACAATTTTAGGGACCTCGGGACTTTTAGCTACCGCCCATTCCTAAATGACTGAACATAGGGGAATACAGGACCTTTATAATCAGACTACATTATATTTCTTCTCCCCTATTTAGTACTACACAGTGGACCGTTTGTTTCTCCTCCCCTACGTCTGCAGCAGTAGGGTCTACTCCACTAATGCCTTTCCATAAAAAAAAAAAAGATTTAGATGTGCCACATAAGGAAATACGAATGCTAGACATAAAAACTAAAACAGGGCGGCAAAGATGAGTATTTTAAATATACCTTAGGCTCCATACATTCTCTACAAAGGGGGTGGGGAAAATCATCCCCTTTTAAATTGACACAGAAACTCTTTAGAACTGTTTTCCGTTTGTCCAGGTTACACCACAGAAGAGATGTTAAAAGGGAGGGAGGGAGAGAGGGAGGTGGGGGTGTGGAAAGGAGAGAGATTAGGCCTATAACGAGCCATTTTAGTATCACAAAACAAAAATATACAAGATAAGGGAGACTATTTTCTAAGCTTCATACATACAACCCAATACGCAATCATACTATTACACATCCCTGCTCTTAGCCTCTGGGTCTACAGAAATTTATGTTGTAGGTCACATAATATCCCCTCTTGGGTTTGTTTGGTTTTAATCATAATGCATAAATCCGGCATAACTGCCAAAAAAAATCCCCTCGGCGCCTCCAGTTACAGTAACCCGCCATATTCACAAGATATAACGACTCCCTTTCATTTTCAAACCAACCCATACAACGTGAAACACAATCCAAAGCAATTTATACAGAATCATGCACGGTTTAGAGGGGAGGGGACCTCACACCCCACCCCTCCCAGATGTAAAGGGATGCCTCCCTAACGTTTTAACCCTTACTAGAACCCCCTTCCCCCTCGGCAGGAATAATAATCATAACAGGAGACTCACCTGTAATGATCACAGGCCAGGCAGCAGCTCCCCCTTAGCTGAGCCCCTTTCTTATCCCAACCAAAACAATGCAACGGCCCCACTGCGGATGTCCCTAGCCTGGGCAGGACGCAGCCCTCAGCTGACTCTGGTAAAGAGGAGTGAGCAGAGGGGTCCCCCAGACCGGCTCGGCGCTCAGAACCCTGCAGGGACCAGCTGGGAAGCGCCTTTGCCTTGGGACCTGTGTACAAACCCCGCTGCCGCTGCTGCTCCCGTCTCCCTCCTCTCAGACTCCTACGCTCCCTCTATGTCACTGCCTCTCTCTGGGAAAATGGCGTCCTCCGCTGTCCCCTCCCTCCTACTACACGGGGCTCACCCGTCCCGCCCGGCAGGGGCAAGGTTACCAGGGCGAAGCCAAACAGCCGCCATTTTGCTTGTGGGCTGGAGCGCAGTTTGTGTCCGTTAAGTCCTCCCTCGTGCCATGTCCGTTTTACAAAGGGGGTTTCCTCAGGATATTAAACTGTTCGAGGGCCGGGGCCAGAGAGCGCGGCCCCCGATCGAAAAATGCTAAAGAGGGGCAGCCTAGGGAACGGCAGGGGCGAGAGGACTGTGGCTGGGGGGAGACTCGGGGCGATCGTGCAGCTGAGTCCACAGGCGGGTGGGGAGGGGCTCGGGCCCAAAATGATGCTGCGAATGACCTAAAGCGCGCAGCGAGATCCTGTCTTCCGCAGGGACGCAGACACCGAAACCTGTTTTCAGCCTACCCCCAAGTGAGCCCCTGCGCTTGCCTGCCCCCTGACCTCTTGTGAGCCTGGGCCAGCCGTACCGACACACACAGGCTTTGGGGGAGGCTGCCAGACCGAGGCAATCTCCCCACGCAGAGTGAGACGGGGGATAAGAGACTGAAGCCCGTTCGGTAAACTAGGGAGGGTTATTCGCTGAGGGGATCTCCCCCTCCCCAGTTAGTGGAGACCTGAGGCGGGTCTGGCTGAGGAAGTCTCTCCACAAGTGACCGAGGTTTAGCGCAGGCCTGCCTCGGGGAACCTCTTCCAAGGAACGAGACTGAGGCACTAGGGCCAGCTCTGCCTGCGAGGCTCCCCTTTACCGAATGACACTTGTGGGGGGAAGGTCTGGGGCTGCCCTGATCTGGACGAGTCACAGGCAGAGCGAGAGGTAAGTGTGTGTGAGACAGGCGCGGCCCCTCTGTTTATGCTGCGCTCCTTCCCTTCCCCCACACGTCCTCCCTGCGTGCGCTGCCCACATCACCGCCCCGCATTCCCCGCCTGGCTTCAGCCCCTCAGGCGATGGCTGAGTGAGGGAGGGGAGGCGGCGGCTGGGGTTTCATTCGACGCCCACCAGGGGCTGAGCGAGCCTCCTTCAGTGCGCAAACTCGGGGCACCACATAAAAGCTGGGCTGGCAGCTCTTTACTCTGCCTCGATGGAGCCGCCACAAGCGGGTCACCGGAGAAGCCGCTAGCAGCGGTGCCGTAGCCTAGGCTTCCCCGTACCTTGGGCACAGAGGGGCTGTAAAGAACCGCTGCTGCGGCAGGAAGGAGTCGGGATGAAGGGATCTGGATGCAGAGGAGGCGGCTGTAACGAGGCATCGAGTATGGGGGGAGGGAGTGATTAAACGTCTTGTGGCCATGGCGGAGTCTGAGGGTATTTTTTCCTGTCTAACTCGTGTGCGTGTCTCTGTCTCTCTCTTTCTCTCTCTGTAGGGCGCTTGGTTGGGCTGCTCGCTCGGGTTCTGCCTGTTGTTGCGCGAAATGGCGGCTGCTGTCTTGGTGGGTTTGGTTTTGTTGTTGTTTGGTTTTTTTTTCCCTTCTTTCCCCTCCCCCACCTCTGCCTTGGCCACTTCTCCGCAGCGAACCGCGGTGAGGACTGAGTCAGGAGGAAGAGGAGGGGGGAGCGGACCGCATTGAAGCCAATCGCCAGGCTGGCTGGGCTGCCCAGGCGCGCCTGGATTGGCTGCTGCTGACATCATCTTGCAGCAGGGGCAGCCGCAGCTGGGCAGGGCTGAGGAGCTGTCGGGGGAGGCTGGTGCAAAGGGAGAAAACGGGCGCCATGATCCCGGCGCTGGGGAGTCTGTGAGGGCACGGAGCGTGAGGCAAGCTCATGGGAAGGGAACGAGAAGGCCTTGACAACCATCACCCAAGCGGTGCCGAGACAAAGAAGATAAACGGGGGAGCGGGCCAGCCTGTGCCTGTATTTGTAACTGCGTCAGTACAAGATGGCGCAGGGTCTCCCTGGAGAGGGACGGGAGCTGCACGTCCGCCGGAGGTCATGTGACCGCGTTGCATTCTTGTGGGGTTTGGCTGCAGACCAAGCTGGCGGAGACGGTGGCTGCTGCTGGGGAGAGTCCGCGCTTCCTTCTCCGCCCTATCATCCCCGCCCCAGGCTGGAGAGTCTGGGTGGATTTTTATTTTTTTTATTTCCCTTCCCTATTACCCTTCTGCAGAAGGGTGTAGCTGGTACTGCTGAGGAAGGTTCTCGCTTCTCGTCCTATTCCCCACCCCCAGAATGTGGTAGCTCCTTCTGGGGAAAGTTCATTCCTCCTCCCCCTCTTCTCTGCATTGAGCTTAGCTGCTTCAGAAGAAAGTTCTCGTTCTTCCTCTCCCTGCCCCAGCCCCCTCTTTCCGGGAGAGTATGGGGGCGGAGAGTAATGTTTTCCACAACTCCCGGACAAGGTTGTAAGGTGTCTGATTGCTGCTATATAAATTAGGTCACATTTGCGATCCAGTTTGGATGACTAAAATGTCTTTGACTCCTCATCTCACTTGTAAGAGCAACTCCTTCTTTGTTGGTTAGGTTTCCTGTGGTAGTGCTTTTTGCAGTCTCCATTTTAGTGAGACACTTAACTATCCTAGTCCACAGTTTGCAAATACGCTCATTTTTTGTGTTCCTTCTCAACATTGGAACCATTTGCAGAGGTGGCTTACTAAGGAAAATGCTGAAGGCGCTTCATAGGATTGACCAGTCATGAAAGTTGACTAATATTTTTTGGGTGATACCCACTTTTTCCAGTGAAACAGCCTCTCACTCAGAACATGACGCAGTTAAATAACTGGTAGTTCAGACCACAGATATAAAGAACAAATCTATGATTTGAAGTATTGAAATACTTCAAATGTATTAACTCTTGGGTTTGCTTATATATGAATAGTATAAATCTTTCCTGGAAATGTTATGTAATCCTGGTAGTCTTTTAAAGATACCATACTTAAAATGAGACTGAACAAAGAATTAGGAAATTTTAAAACTAGAGGAGTCCATGGTTTCTCCTTAGAGACTAACATGTTATCCCTCTTAAATTGTTCATTTATATTCTGTTTGTTCTACCTGTCTTTCCAGACAAATAGTGAGTGAGGAAGGGGGAGCTTAAAATGCATTGTCTGACCTTATCTTGGAGGTTGTGTACTGTCTCATTAAAAATAGTATTGCAAATAAATATTTGCTACCAACTTGCACAAATCAATGCTTATCTGATCTGTAAGTCACATGGGTGAGTTGGAGTCTAGTTACATAACTAAATGTGGTCCCAGTTACAGCCTCTTAGCCTGACATGTAGCCCTGGAGTGACTAGCATCTGTGCCACTTTGAGAGGTACTCTGAATAGTTTTGCATAGTTGCAAATAACTTCAGTAAGGGAGAAGGGCCTCCTTTCTATCCAACATCAAATAGCGTACTTTTTTTTCTTGAATTACATGTAGGAAATTTAAGACAAATGCAGAGATTAGACACTGAAATATAGATGGCTAATTTAATGATTTGAGGCTCAAGGGTTTAAGAATTTGGACTGTCAAACTTAATTTATTGTTAATCCCGGAGATGCTGTTTTAACTTCTGTATTGTTTGGTCTTTTATGAAAAGACACAGTAAGTTTGCGAGGTGTGTGGTTTTTTTTTTTTTTTTTTAAGGAGCATGTCAGCTGAATGTCTGGCAATGACACTGATTGAAGGAAATGATCTAATATACACATCCAAAATATTTTGTTCTAGAAACTTGTGATTACATTTACAAAAGCATACTTGCTTGATTTAGATACTTGAAGCTAGTGGAGTTGTTGATCTATTTAGCTCTACAAAGATTTGTTCCAGAATCCCAGCAACTTTACTATTCCTCTCTCCCTGTCCCTGCCACCAATAGCAGAGTATGCCTGTGCTGTTTTTACCCATGGTTCCTATCTTACATTGTTATAGGAGCACAGTGAAAACAAATATACTTACATCTACTTGATTGTGATGCTTTGGTATGTATGTCACTAGAGCTGTGTAGAGCCCATATGAGCAACCTTGGCACAAGCTAGGAGGGGGGGGAGCAGAAAAGTAGTAAGGCACAAGCAGAGCCTCATGAAAAGGGCAACAGGACAGAGGAAGAGAGGGCCAGATAAAGGAACTTGCTTGCTTTCACAGTAGACTATCCCCTTTAGACTAAACTCAGGGCATGCCTCCACTACTGCTTAAGTCTAACTTGCATTGCTCAGGAGTGTGAAAAGCTCTTTGCCTCCCACCCTCAGAAATGTGACTCTTGCACTGTCCACACCAGTGCTATTGCAGCTTCCACTTCTTGCCACAGTGTATGCCAACAGGAGAGCACTCTCCTGTCAGCATAGCTTTTCTTTCCAGATGTGGTGCGCTGCATCAGTGTGGTGTAGACTTGCCCTCAGTCCTCTTAAATTCAAATTGTACCTCATGTATTCAGTCACTTCATTAAAGAAAACTTTTTTTGGTGAATGAGGTGCACTTAGGCCTAGATGGTGCCCCTTGGATTTCATGCTGGAGCTGAGGGTTCCACTGCATGTAGACCTATCCCAATCCTTTATGATGGGCAGTGTTGCCTGCACAGCACTACTTTCTTTTCTCCATCCAGCCCTTGTAGTGGGGAAAGATGAGGGTATGCCAGATACAAGGGTCCACTAACTTCTCTGTGCTATATAGCATAAAGAGTCCTGGGGGCACTGTTGGCTGGGGAAACTTTAGTGGTACAGCTCCTCTAGAGTAATGGTGACTTGGGTGGAGTGGTCTGTAGAACTTAAGAGGGGGAGTGGGGGCAGAAAGTAGAAAATGAAGCCTTAAATGTTCAACTCAAAATATTCTTCTGGAGTTGAGCATTGTTAACATTTTTAGTTTAATATAGGTCATAGCTTGGACATAGTAGCCTTATTAAAAATAGCAATTGTATAGTGTGACTTCGTATTATAGCAGTGGTTCTCAAACTGTGGGTCTAGACCCCTCAAGATTGTGGGGTTATTACATGGGGTGGGGGGGGTGGAGTCACGAGCTGTCAACCTCCACCCGAAACCCCACTTGCCTTCAGCTTTTATAATGGTGTTAAGTACACCTCTACCTCGATATAACGCTGTCCTCAGAAGCCAAAAATCTTACCGCATTATAGGTGAAACCATGTTATATTGAACTTGCTTTGATCCACTGGAGTGCACAGCCCCGCGGAACACTGCTTTACTGTGTTGTATCCGAATTCGTGTTATATCGGCTCGCATTATATCGAGGTAGTGGTGTATATTAAGTGTTTAATTTATTAGGGGGGGGTCACAGAGGCTTGCTGTGTGAAAGGGGTCACCAGTAAACAAAAGTTTGAGACCCACTGTATTAGAGAAACCTTCAGTTGATTGTTTAACTGTAGGCTAAACAGAGTACAACTCCTTCCAACAAAAAATGAAAAAAACGGGCTAATGGAGGAATGGGTTGTTAACTGTGGTAGTATCTTGGTTTGAAACTGGATAGTTACACTGAAAGCCAGTAGTGAATAAAATAAAATCTTCAGGATTCCCTGCACCTGCTGAAGTGAGGTGCAGCTAGCTGCTCAACTCTTCAAAACTGAAAGAAGAATGGCTAGTAAAAACCCAGAGGGGAAAGATAATCTGATACTTTGTGTGTTTTCTCAGATCTCTTAAGGTCTATTACCTCCCCCCACAGGTGTCTTAAAGATATGACCTGCTCCACAAATAGCTATAACAACTGGATTTGTGAACCTTCTGTCCAGAGTTGGACTACCACTTAACTGTAATTGTTCCTCTTCTGTGTTTCTGCCATTAGGCAGGATACTAGAATGTTCCGTTAGAGCTGTTTGGGATGGGTTAGAAAGATGTCACTTATGTTGAGATGAGCATTTTGTCTGAGTTTAAAGACCTACTGTTAAGGCTTTTTACTCATGTGATTGACACCTGGGATACACTGGACCCCAGGAAGATTTTTGGAGTATGCTCAAGCCTAATCTAATTGCAATAGATAGGGTTTTTTTTCTTGTGTTTATTGAGAGCAAAAAATCTTCAGTGTATCACATCTTAGAAGTGATGCAGTTTAGCAGCTTCAACCTGTTAGCTGCAGAAGACTAGGAAAGCTTAATCTGTTGTTTTACATAGTTTTAAGCAGTCTGACATCAAATAACCCTTCAGCATGGTTTATTTCTTAATGTTTGATAAGCTTACACCAGGGTTCCATGTATAGTGATTAAGTTTGTGTAAGAAATCTGCCTATTGTTAGCTTGCTACATAAAACAAAACATTGCTGCCTCCTGCTCTTGCGCATCTCTACTTAACACTTGTCTTCCCCTCCCCCTTTTTTTGACTCTTCCACAAAGGGAGTTCAGTGAATTTCTTGTGCCTGTTTCCATGATGCTGCACTTAACTGAGGGAGACCCTTCCAAAATTGAGACACCGTGAACTGTGACACTGGAAAACACCCCTCCACATACTTCTGAAGGCATAGCCTATTCCTAAAAATAGGAAAAGTGAGGAGAGACTTGAGCAAGAGGCTGTAAACTG